CTGGGCTCCGGCGATCCTTCCGCCTCAGCCTCCCAAGTAGCTGGAACTACAGGCATCCGCTACACGCCTGGCTAATTTTTTATTTATTGTAGACATGAGGTCTCGCCAAGTTGCCCAGGTTCAGGCACCTGAGCCTCCCAAGGCAGGGATTACAGGCTGAGCCACCGAGCCCGGCTAAAAAAAAAACTTTTGACAATTATCAAATGTCAACAAGGATGTGACACAATGAAACCATCACTGAGGACTACAAATCAGTACAAATGTTTTGAAAAACAATGGGTCTGATCTCACAGAGACATGCACACCTTGCAAACCCAGCAGGTCCAATCTTACACGAGTAGATGAAGGTATAAAATTGCCAGAAGGCAGCTGTGGTCTAGCACAAACCTGGAAGGACCCATGCACCCAAGACGGGAGGAAGGCCACATGAATGACAAACATTACCCCAAACTGAAATAAACGTCCTGCAGCTGTCTGCAGTATGGACGGATCCTAGGTAGAAAATTATTTTAAAAACGAGCCACTTTTTCATGTATCTGTTGGGTGTTCGTATGTCTTCTTCTAAGAAGTGTCTATTTATATCTTTTGCCCACTTTTTAATAGGGATGTTTGCCTTTTTTCCTTTTGGCACATTTGAGTTCCTTGCAGATCCTGGATGCTCACGGCGCTGCAGGTTGGGAAGGTCAGGACTGGGTGGTACATCTGGTGGCTTCTGGTGACGGTCTTGCACTGCAACCAAATGTGGCAGAGAAACGGAAGGGGACCCAGATGGGTGCACAAAGGGCAAAATAGAGGCCACCTCGCCGTGTCACAGCCTGCTCTCGTGGGAATGAAGTCCATTCCATCAGGACTAATCCAGCCTCCAAAGAGACATCAGGCCCCGAGGACCCAGTCGCCACTCAGCCACACCCCAGCTGGGGACCAAGCCTCAATGCTAGTGTTGTGGGGACAAGCCATGCTCTGCCCCAGCAGGGGTCACAGCCTGGCAGTGCGGCTGCAGGTGCTCGGCTCCTCCATGCTGGTGCAGGGGCAAGACTGCCTACTTTCTTTGAATCCAAGAGCCCATAACTGTAGAGAACAATGTGATTTAACAACAGATCTGGGGAGGGGCACACTGAGCCATCGCTATGGCTTGAAGCTTGTCCCCTCCGATGTACATATTAGCATTTAATCACCAGCATGGCAGTACTGAGAGGTGACTAGGTCATGAGGGCCCTGCCTTCATGAATGGATCAGTCCATCCATGGGTTAATGGAGTAATGGATGATCATGAGGCTGGTGGTTTTTTAAGATGAGGAAGAGAGGCCAGGTGCAGTGACTCATGCCAGTAATCCCAGCACTTTGGGAGGCCAAGGCAGGACGACTGCTTGAGGCCATGAGTTTGAGACCAGCCTGGGCAACATAGCAAGACCCTTGTCTCCACAAAAAAAAAAAAAAAAAAAATTAAAAATAAAAAATTTAGCCAGGTGTGGTTAATCCTAGCTACTTGGGAGGGTAAGGCAGAGGACTATTTGAGCCCAGGAGATCGAGGCTATGGTGAGCCATGATGGTGCCCCCCCCCTTCAGTCTGGAGAGTGAGATGCCAACTCAAAA